AGGCTAAATTTATGTACATAACCTTTGAAACTAATATATGATTTTATTATGTTTTAGCATTTGTCAGCGAGAACTGCGCGTGGACGTCTCTGCCACAATCGCCTGCCGGTTGGGTGGTAAATCGCGTACCATTACAATAGAGGGTGAACCTGGTGTTGAGAGTCCCAATTTCCGTCATGCAGCGGGTAATATAATTCTTGAAGTCCCACCATATTATTGTGTCTAAAGAACCAAATACTACATACATATCTGTGCTATGTATATCCAAGGACTATTGCGCGTACTATCTATCGTATGACAATGAATTTTAACCCTTCCGTACCGCGCGTACATTTTGTTGTACATACATACATCCATATACATTAACATAGCTTTATTTTTTAATCTTTTTGTTTAATTGTTTGTTTATGGCGCTAAATTAATTTCAAAAGTATTTTTTTCCAGTTTTTTAAAACCTCGTTTTGATTTTATCCTTGTTTTTTTTTTGTTGTTGTGCACAATGTTGCATCGTTTGTATTGGCGTCAAAAACAAATTAATTGTGTGTTGTTCTCAAAACAATGACACAATTTGCCATTAAATTGCATATGTACGTTATATGATATTCGTTACCAATGCTATTCGAGTAGTCCGAAGAGTATTAAATGCATTTGTACCATTTTTTTTTTTAATTGTGGTTTATATTACAAAAATTTATTGATTGATTTTAAAGTAAAACTGTATAATATAACACGTATGTACTTAAATGGTGCCATATCATACGAAAACACAAACTAAATATGTATACAATTTTAAGATTATCTGTTTTGTTAAAGCACAAAAAGTTTTCCAAAAACTTCTGCTGAAGTGACAGTCCTTGTTCGAATGTAAATCGTACAGGGTAATTCTGGCTAAGATATTAAAATATTTTCGTAAGACAATTGAAAGACAGATGGCAAGATAGTTCCAAAGACTTTTGTTATTCTAGCACAAAAGACTTAGAAAAAAAACTCTCTCATACACCACTCGTATTGAAAAGCTATTTTGAGAGAGAGCATTTGCATATCATTTAGCTCGCTATTCGAAGGATCCGAGTTCGATTTTTTTTAATTAAATCCTTTTTTTATTTAATTTGATTTTTAAGTACTGCATTCTCATGTTCCGATGAAATGTTTCTCTTTTTAAATTTAATTTTTACATTTTAGTTTTTTAAAAAAGATTTTTTTCTTTCATTTAATTTAATTTTAAAAATATTTTTATTTCCATTTAACATATTTTTTTTTTATTTCATTTTCTTTAATTTTTTAATTTTTATTGCTTTAAAAAGAGAAATATATTATTTTTTTAAATTTACTTTAACTTGTAAAAACTTATTTCTAAAAGGTGACAGCATAACGCTTAGACCTCTACGTTAGCAGATCTTTCAATTAGTCTTCCGAAAGACAGTAAAGGGCTACCAAGCTAGTTGCCAGAATTGACAATTGTCTTGCGAATGACATTTGTCTTTTGAAAGACTGTGGTGAGTCGAAAGACAGTTGCCAGAATTGCCCTGTTAACCTATTATTGCTGGCAGGGGAAGGGGACCGTGTAATGACGTCAATCAAAATGTACATCAAATACCAGTTACGTTAACATATTTTTTTGTGAACTGCTTTTATAGTTTAAATTTTGAATATAAATATGTACATAAATACATAATGCATGTATTTATCTACATATGTGTGTACAAACAATAGTATGTATCCAATGTAATCGTGATTAATCGGCATGCCTTAACCAATACCACACAATGTAATTAAGCTACTCTATAAATATGTATGTGAATTTTTTGTCATTACAATGCCTAGTGGAAATTCGGCTTTAGGAATTACGTATTAGAAGTTAACAAATTTCTAACTTCCTGAATTGTATATACATATGTATGTATGTATATGTACATATATAAACGTATATACATATAGTACTTCCCTGCAACCAAAGTTCCCGAAATCTTAACGAAATTTTTAGGAGTATCTGATTTCTGTAACGATTTTTTTACGAATCTTCAAAGAAAATTATATCAAGTGATTGACACGAACTTGCAAAGAAAATTTCTGTACGAAAAATAAAGAAAATTCTAAAAAAAAACTGCAAGAAATTCTTCACATAGCAGCATTGTTTACATTCCGATTTTCTTTCAAAATTTCTTGAAAGAATGGAAGTGTGCATAGTTACCCTGCAAACCAAAGTTCCCGAAATCTTAACGAAATCTTTAGGAGTATCTGATTTCTGTAACGATTTTTTTCCGAATCTTCAAAGAAAATTATATGAAGTGGTTGACACGAACTCGTAAAGAAATTTCTGTACGAAAAATAAAGAAAATTCTAAAAAAAATCTGCAAGAAATTCTTCACATAGCAGCATTATTTTCATTTCTTTACCGATTTTCTTCCGAAATTTCGTAAAAGAATGGAAGTGTGCGTAATTTATTTCATTTTAGAAAATTCGGCAAAAAATCGGATGGGATCTTTCCGAATTCTTTAAAAATTCTTTACGATTCAGAATACTCTGAAAAAATGGTTTGCAGGGTTATTTCATTTTAGAAAATTCGGCAAAAAATCGAATGGGATCTTTACGAATTCATTAAAATTTCTCTACGATTCAGAATACTGTGAAAAAATTGTTTGCAGGGTTAGTAGATATGAGAAAGAAAGAAATTGCACGATATACATAAATGGTACAAAATGGTAACCATTTAAACTAAGCAAAGTATCTTAGGGTTGCGTGGAAGAATTTCTATGTTCGAATGCATTACACACAAGTTTCTTATATAGGTGTTTTCACAAAATGTACAAGTAAACCGAAAATGCAAGTAAATGAGCCCAAACGACTTTATATCTTTAAATTTCGTATTCTGATCGCGAAAAGAGGTTATGAAACGCCAAACGATGGAGAGATCTGAAAACAAATTTAATTAAATATGTGTACGGGGAAAAAATCTGTCACGTCTGTTATCTCATTTTAATTCAAAATAAAACCCACAACGATTGCTTCTGATTAAGTACGAATTGGTTGTAATGGTCCGTAATTTGATATTATTTAAAAAATGTTTATGAAAGGAAACCCTCGTCAGCATTCGCAGAGTTCTGCTTATTTTTACATGTACTCTAAAACCACTTTTGTTTTTGTCACGTCCGTTCATCGATTTTCCCGACACCAGTGTTCCAAAGCACATCTAATTTTTTTTGTCAACCAAAGGACGGCAAATTTTGTTTTTTAAGTGACTTCCGCTTTCGTATGATTTATTTAACTCTAAAGTCGTACGAATATCACGTCCGACATCATGGAAACACCCATATACTTGGTGCAGTCGCTCGCTGTGGTTACTACGTATAACATACTGTTGAGGTAACGCATTTTTTTTTTACTTAAGCTACTTGTTACGCCACGGAATTGAAGAAAACGCTTAGAAGAGGCGCGAATCAACTGTAAAGGCAGTGTCACGCGATTGGACATTGCCAGAAATTTGGTGCAAATCGTATCCCATTCGTGTGTATGCACAAATATTTTTCTTTATCCCAATCCCGAAAAACAATTTATTCAAGGAAGTGCGCTTGTGTTGTACCAATCGTATGACTATAAAAAAAAAATTGTCGTCCCAATTTTTTTATTAACCGACTTCACAAAAAGGAGAAGGAATCTTTTTTTATTTTTTTTTTTTATGTACATATGTTACCGCATAAGTTTGAACCACGTTAACCGATTTCCGTATATAAAAAATGTGCAAATCTGTCGTGAGACACTGCCTTTACATTACTATACAATTTTATTATGAACAAAATATTTATGTACAAGTTTATTAGGGCGTCCGTTATTTATCAAATTGATTTAATATTTCGATTATAGGTTATATGTATTCTAAGCCAAGGATTTAATACCGAAATACCATCACCACATACATCCAAACAAGTATACGGGATTTTTTTTTATCTATTGATCAAATCAATCTTACAAAAAACTATATATTTCTATAAGAAACTGGCCCAAAGTTTATTAAGGATTAAATCAATGACCAATAGCGCTCATTTTCTATGCCAATTTTCAACTTTTGCATCATTATTCTCGCTTGGGCCTATAACCAAGAAACGGAGGTTTCTCTTATAGGAGTATATATGTATGTTTGTATGTAACTACAGTATACTCCCGGCTGTTGTATCTAGTTGTTTTTTAAAACATGCTGCAATTAGTTAAAAAAAAAAAAATTGAAAATTCCTACAATATTCAAACAAAGCTAATAAAATTTTACAATGGTTTTTGTTTTAAATAATAGGAACTAGTTTTTTAGTTCTTGGATTTAGTTCTTGAATTACTTTGGTAAATAACTGACACGCTGAAGTATATATGTACATTCATACACACAAACAAAGCTTTTAATATTATTATGTTTTATATATAATATATGTATATCTATGTAAAACAAAGTGCATATTTTAATACTTATACAATAAATAAAAAAACAACTTTGAAAACGCAAATCTCAGCTTTTTGATTTCCACTATTTTTGCACGCCATGCAGTGATATTTTTACTTTCACACTTTTATTTCGTCTGCATTGCTAAATATAAAGCAGACAATACAACATTCAGTTTATGTGGCCAAGAATCAGGTATGCACAAACGAATGTATGCATATAATACATACATATGTACATACATACATATGTTTGTAAACATGCACACGGAGCAAAAAAATTCGATGCTGTGGAGAAAGTTTTAAATGCGGGAAACTATAGACTAAGTATTGCTGCACTGGATTGATGTGAAGCGTGAGTAGAAACCAATTTTTTAATCACTAATATCATCCACTTGCAATTCAATATTTTTGACCAATTACAGCTGTAGTTTAAGTTGTTTCATTAAGTGTTAACAAAAATAATAGTAAGTTTTTATATGGGAGTTTAGGAACTTTTTCATCTAAAATGACTGCCTGCCTACTCCCATCTTTCCCATTTTTCTGAGTGTCGCGATTCCCGAAATACTTCATAGTACAACTGAGCTAATTTGATCAACCGATAAATTCGACAGGACAAAACAAGATAAGCCGAAGCAAAAGAGTATTAGGTAGAAGTGTCGTGGCGCAAATGCACAGCGAAAACGCCCAATACATTATTGTTGTCGATGAGGAAACAGTCAAGGTGATTGCATAAACGGTGCAAATTAAATATTAACAGCAAAAATAACAACAACAAAACAGTTACATACATTAAAAAAGTATTCGAATTCCTTTCGTAGGCCACTTTAAATATACATATGTAAACATATAAAATTGAATAATTGTTATTATGTCTTGGAGAGTGCGTCGCTTTTTGAAACAAGTGCGTGAGAACAGAAGAGAAGGGTCAGAAATTGAAAAGGAAGTAACAACAAAAAGGGTATCAATAAATGACACACCTGAATCAAAATTTGATAATCAACTTAAGCCGCCGTTACCAACGACAGCAAAAAGTGTAACAATAAATGAGCCAACTGAATCGAAAAAAGATGATACATTTGAAAAGCTTAACGAGACGCAGACGTTTAACGAAGATGAATCCCATAACCTTTTATCTGCATCCTCTGCAAGCAATGAAGAAAGCTTTAATGATTTGAGAACAAGTTTCCAAAATCGTTCCAGCCCTACAACTTCTACCAACGGGAAATATGTAAATTGGGGCAGTAAGCATACTGAGTTGGCAACACAGCCGTGGTGCTGCGTGGGTGATTTAATGTCTTTCTGCGACAAATACGAGTACCGGACGCTTAGCCTTACCGATACTCGTACTCACAATAACATTATAGCTGAAGTCAAAGCTCTGTTGACTGTTGGTCAAGCTCCTTTTGATTTTCGCAAACGATTTCCGGGAAACATCCATAACCCCGAAAACCTGTGGGTCTGCATAGGTCGTTGCGCTAGTGTGGAGTATCATTTGAAAAAAATTCTGAGTGTGTTTCGTAAACCGCTTGTACATCTGCCAGTGGAAAAGCAACGAACCGCAAGGCAAAATTTCCATTTGGCAATAAATGAATTACGTTTGGATATATCAGCGCGCATCAGTGCGGTTCAACTCTACGATCGAAATGTATTTGAACGAGAATTTCATTTACACTGGCAAGATACGTAAAAAAAAAAAATATATTTTGAACAATGCTTTAATTTGACTAAAACTTTTTAATAAATGAAGATCTCTGGTTTGTGCAGCATAGTGTTTTATTTTAAAAACTTAAAAAAAAAAAAACTGATTCGCATACATGCTAGGGCAGCCAAGAAGGTCTAGCGTCAAGCTAATAAGAGCCGCATGCAGATTTTAATTTTTAAAAATGCGACAAAAAAGTTGACTATTTAGACAAGTCTTACAGGTTTCGTACAGATTTTTCTGGGCGAAATTTCTGGAGAATTTTATTTATTCCCTTATCCGATGTCTGAGCGAATTATGTCCGATTTCGGGCATACACGTCTGATAATTCTTGTTTTCCACGATTATTTGGTCAGACATCTGTTATATATCCGTCAGAATCGGCGGACCGATATCGGCCAAAATCATAGATTTCTGACTTTTTTTGCCGACGAGTCTGACTGATATCTAACAGATTTCTGGCAATTTTTCTAGCTGGGCTGTTACAAGATATGTATTTGCATATGTATGTAAACTGGTATCGCTTAGTTGTCGAAATTCGACATTTTTTTCACACGCTTTTGAATTTTACCTGTCACCAATACTAACTCCTTAATGCGAATTACTATTGTGAAGTCCACCAGCATAATTTATAGCGAATTTACAGGAAAACCGGATTGATTAATGCTAATTCTACCAAATCTCCTCCAAATCACTTCAGTAGCTTTTGAAACCTCGATTTTCGTTTATAAAAAATATCCATATGTATTTGTATGTATACATGAGATGTTCATCACTGACTAATATGTCAAACATATACCAATTCAGACTGTAAATAAGTTTATCGATTATACTGTCTCAGAGGCTCTCAGACTTGGATGTTAAAAACTAAATTGCCCACATCTACATAAACTTTATTTTTTCATCAAAATCGTTAACGGTTAAGAAAGTATCTTGAAGGTTTACAACAAAAGATAATATTTCCTTCTCTAACGGCGGTTTCACACGGGTTTTTGTCAAGACTGGACCAAGGCCCAATATTTTTTCATCACACGATTGGGCTACCAAGTTACACCAAATTTTATGTTACTAATATGTATGTGTTTTAAAAGGGGAAAAAAATCTGATCATAAATATGATTTTGTAGGAGAGCTCTTAGTCCCTGCGCCACCTATCGTAGGATAAACACACAGATCCTTCGAAAAACTTTTGCACAAAACAACAATCATTGAATGCGATTTTAAGATCTGGGTGAAAATAGTTCCCAATTGAATGATTCTTGCGATTTTATATGTGTATAAATGAAGTGGTTACAGAGATAACCGATATGAGAATTTCAGTTTGTATGGGCGGTGCCACGCCCCCTTGACAAAATCTACCACTCTTCGCCGAAAATACGCTATTGACAACATATGTTGCGGTGTAACATTTCAGGACGTCAGCATAAGCGGTTGCAGAGGTAAGCGATATGAGAATTTCAGCCTGTATGGGCGGTGCCACGCCCCCTTTTCCAAAATATAAAATTTTTCGCCGTAAGTACGATATTGACAATATATGTTGCTGTGTCAAATTTCAGGACGTTAGCAGAGGCGGTTACAGGGATGACCGATAAGAGAAATTCAGTTTGTATAGGAGGTGTCACGCCCACTTTCCCAGTACCTACCATTTTTCACCGTAAGTAGGGTATTCACAATCTATGCATCTGTGCTAAGTTTCAGTTCCCCAGTTATCAGTTCGTTTTAGATATATATTGGTTTTCACATTTTAGTTTATATGTCAGACGCCACGCCCCCTATATATCGGGATTAACATTTTTGGATTAGAGGAAGTTATATCCTTTTAATCGGTGTATGTTTCATTCAAATCGAGCGAACGGTGCCTTCAAAAAAGGGATTGCAAAATTTTCTTGTGGCGTATTTATATATAGATCCTACTTTTCTGATACGTTCTAATATATGGTACAACCCAGTGAATACAAAAAAGTAGCATTTCCATATGCAAATACATACCGTGCAAAAGCTCTATTACTGAGTAATTAAAAAGCCTTACAAAAACAAAAGATATTCTTTAGAGGAATGTCTTCAAAATCACTGTGTTATATTAAAGACTTTAGCTAATTTAATGATATAGAAGTTGTTTTTGATTTCTATTAGGTTTCTTGTGAGTAACCTTTGAGTAACCGACTTTTGGACTTAAATACTTTTTATATAAACTACCTATTTGGATACTATAGTATGTTATGTATAGTATAGCATGTTTATAAACATTCATTTACACTGGCGATCAAAACTGAGTGAATGCTGATTTTTTTAATATTCACAATATTTTCCCAAGTAAAGATTTTTTTTTTTGATAATGTTTCATGAAAATATTTGTCATGCTATGACCATAATTATACTAAACAAAATTTTACTGTTCAATCTGAATTTGTTGAACATTTTTGTGTTTTCAGTCATGAAGTTTTAGTAAAATTGGTGAATGTTTGCAGCGGCTAAAATTTTTTAAGGTATTAAGTGATGACTAGATTCCAAAATAAAAAAACGTAGGTATTTTGAAGTCTCTAGTTGGGTGATAAAAACTGAAGTATGTACTATGGCACTAAGTAGATTTCTAAATACTAAAAGGTTTAGGAGATGAAAGACAAATCGGTAATTTTTGCTTTTTAACCGACTTGTAAAAAAGCTTATCAATTCATTGGAATATTTATTTTGACGTAGAATACGTCTTACCTTAAGGTATGGGGGCTATGTTCAAATGTTGTAGTTGTAATTTTTAGAGCTTCACAAAAATGCTTATTGCACGAGAACTAATAAAGCGATTTCAAAGAAAAGTTTGGCGTTTCAAAGATAAAATTCCAAACCTGTCGACAGATTCATTTTTGTAAATAACCAATTCGGTTTCTGTCGTAAAAACAACGGTAAACATTGCCTTATTTTGGGGTCAATTTTGAGCCTTTAAAGTGCTCTAGCA